AAAAAAAGATTTAGCATATAAAACTTTTTATTTTCATGATAATGTGCAGTACCCCAGAAAAAGTAAGAAACAATTGAGATTTTTAAATTCAAGGGCTCTCCCTGATTTTATGAGAACTGGAAGTCACAATGAACTGAATTTGTTTTCCTTCATTTAAATATTAACCAAAAAAAGTGTAAATGACAAGAAACAGCAATGAACTCAGAACTGTTAATGAGCAGCCAAGTGAACTCTAACAGGTAAGTAGAGAGGTGGTAGGTATGTTGGTAGTAGGTAGGTTGAACTGTTGAAGCTCAAGATAGTAACAGCTGATATCTAATGTAACAACAGACACAAAAGTCTTTTAGACATTGCAAGGAAATTAATGATGAGTGCTATTTACTAAGGTGAAAGAGTGGGAGGAAATATATAGAATATATAAGAAATACAAGAAGTAGGGTGCAGTGGCACACGCCTGTAATCCCAGCGGCTTGGGAGGATGAGGATCACCAGTTCAAAACCAGCCTCAGCAATGTTGAGGCACTAAGCAACTCAATGAGACCCTGTCTGTGAATAAAATACAAAATTGGGCTGGGGATGTGGCATAGTGGTCAAGTGCCCCTGAGTTCAATCGAAAGAAAGGAAGAAAGGAAGGAAGGAAGGAAGGAAGGAAGGAAGGAAGGAAGATAGATAGATAGAAAGACCTGAACACCTGCAACAAGAATTAAATCTAAACACAAATGAGAGATTCCTTCTCTTGTCTATTCATCCCTTTCCTAACAATTTTTTAGATGCACAACATGTTTTTATCCTCCATCTTTGTCCATTTGCATGTGAGTGATGGGGTCCAGGAGTAGAAAGTCTATTCAAGCCCTGGAACCTCCTTTTGGTCACTCTCTGTTCACCCTTCTGTGCCACGAAGATGTCCATCTTATCAGAGAGCAGCCTTCTACTAAAATCCAGAAAGTTACAAGGCTGAGAGGCAGCTGCCTGTCCTGGCTGAGAGGCACCAGGCTCCTCATACCAGATCATCACTACCTAGGGAACCCAGGTCAGAGGTGCTCACAGCGCTGGGCCCATCAAGCCTTTGTCCTCCTGGAGGACCCACACAGCGTGGTGAATGTTTCCACCTGGATACCTGAAACACGTGAAAGTAAGAAGGGTGAAGGTGGATTCCTGAAAACGGAATAGACTTCTTAGGAGATATTTAGAATAAAGTTATCACTATGAGGCAAGAAAAATATATCAGTTTTAGAATTCTTAAAATCCTGCCCAAGGATGGGGGTGTTGCTACCAACTGAGATTGATCACTAAACTTCTGCCTTCACCTAAGAATTAGAGGAAGTTGTTTGGACATTTCAGACAAAAACAGAATTCCACAGGAACACATTTAGCTTTGGAAAGCCATATTATTTGACCTACTAGGCTGTCTTATTTTCAGATTTTAGATGTTTAAGAAAATCTCTTGATTCTAAGTTACCAATAAAATAAACTTCAAGCTATTTATTTTAATGTTCTGTTTTCCCCAATATGAACTTTCAATTTGAGTAGTAACTGAAAGGCATTCAGAAAGATACTGTCTTTTCTTCTTTTGATTCACAAAAACTGCCAGATTTTTAGAGAAGGGTTGCTACTCAAGTAGAGAAATTTCTCTAAGTTGTCAAGCATGACCTGCCCCCCCCCACCCCCGCCATGTACCTGCCATGGTAGCACAAGGCGGGATAAAAGGAGTGTATAAGAAAAAATTTAAACTGGGAACTGCTATTCAAGATTTCTGACTCCTTAAAGAGGCACACCAAAAATCAACATTAAGAAGGTCTTATTTGGTTCTCTAAATAAATAGTTCCACATAGGAAAGCTCCCTTGCTTAAAAGGAACCTAGGTGTTTAACTCTTGGCATTAATATTTTAAATCATGAAGGAGAATCAAAGCATCTAATAAGAAGAAGGCTCATGTCAGTTATTTTCAAATTATGCTGCTATGGAAGCCAGACCAATATATCTATCTTACTATTTTAAAAAATTGCAGAAATAGCCACCAACTGATTAACAAAGTATGGTACAGTCATCAAATTGAATGAATACTGGTTAGCAATAAAAAGAAACCAAGTGCAGATATATGCTACCACCTGAAAGAGCCTCAAATACTTTATTCTATATCAAAGAAGACAGATGCTAAAGAGCATTTGTTACATGACTTCATTTGCATGGTATGTCCAGAAAAGGCAAATCTAAATAGAGAAAGTAGAAAAGTAGTTGCCCAGGGTGAGGGGTGGAGATGAGGGACCACAGACAGACAACAGGGATTTGGGGGAATGATGAAATGATCTAAAATTGGACTGTGGTGATACTTATATGATCATGTAAATTTACAAAAAATCATTGAACTGGACTTGGGTGTATTTTATGGTTATGTAAATTACACTTCCAACAAAGTAGTTTTTTAAAAAATAATAAAAAGTAAGTATAACTGGAATAAAGTGACTTTTTCCCCCCTCTGGGATAAATATAATTGTAGTCACATTTTTTTTAATTTAAAGGAAAAATTATTTTCTACATTTTAAGATATTTTTCACCTAGATGACTGACATTCACAATACAAGTTTAGTTTCCATTTAATGTGTATGAAATCCATGTTTAGCTATTTTAGGTTTAATACTTCAATATTTAATAATATTAAAATTAGAACACATGATTCCTAAATTTTTCCCCAACCTGAAAGAGAGAGAGAGAAAGAGAGAGAGAGAGAGATCACTGAACAGAATAATATGAAAGCTTCTTTATAATTTTTTAGAATTGATGATTTAAATCAGTGTAAGAGAGTATGGCATTGGAAACCAACCTACGTTTAGTCACTCTCAAAACTGATGGTTATTGATGTGGTTCCTAATCTGTGATCTTGGGGTGCCCCTCAGGACCCCAATGTTGTATAATAAGATAGTGATATGTCCCCTTGCGCTCCAACACAGAATACAGTAACCTGTATAAAAGGTGCTCAATAAATACTGGCCCAATGAATGTGTGAACAAGGCCAGTATTTATCCACCAAATCATGGATGTAACAAATACAAATATTTTCTAAAACTGAATATATGCACATATATCCCCATATACACTTGTTTTCCAAACCCATGTGGATGGCTGTTTTTGTGCTTAGTAAAAGGTAAATTCATTTAAACATGCTAGTAAATCCATAGTAAAATTTTGCCATTATAAAAATGTTCAATCTATAAATGATCATACAATTTTGATGTAAATATCTCAGTTCAAAACTACAATTTTACAAGACTCTTGAATTCCTTTAAAACTCAATTTTTAACCTTTTCAGTCATTATCCCAAATAAATATACCTCATATTTTTCATTTTTTACCAGATCTAGCTTACATTTTTTAGTTTGGGCCGAACTTTAAATTAGAATTCAAGTTCACTGCTGAGCACATTGTAAATAACTAGCCTAATAAACAACATGCCCATTAGTAATTCAGGAAGTAGCTTCAGTATTCATTTCAAAAGTCCCTTTTTAGTTGGGACAAGGTATTAATTTATTTTGTAAGCAAGGAAAATAAACAAGGAGAGAAATGAATTACAGTGGATGGGGTAGAGAGAGAAGATGGGAGGGGAGGGAGGGGGGATGGTAGAGGCTAGGAAAGGTAGCAGAATACAACAGTTACTAATAGGGCATTATGTAAAAATGTAGATGTGTAACCGATGTGATTCTGCAATCTGTATTTGGGGTAAAATTGGGAGTTCATAACCAACTTGAATCTAATGTATGAAATATGATATGTCAAGAGCTTTATAATGTTTTGAATAACCAATAAAAAAAATTAAAAAAAAAAAAGCAAGGAAAAGTAAGAAACTTATCAAGTTTGCTTGGGTCCCAGGAAGTAGGACCTGTTTTCATTCATTCCATAAATAGAACAGGAACCACATAGGATCTTAACTGCCTTAGGCCCAAATTCCTCCCTGTTAGGGACCTTCACTCTCAAATTGTGAGGGGGAGGGAAACAACCTTTACAACAGATCCAATTGTGTGTGCTAGGGCCCCTGACAATCCAGCCCAGCTCAAATTTCTGTTAAACCAGTCTTTCCATAGAGCTGAATATTTAATGGCACTAGGTAAAAACAGAAGGTCAGCTTATCTTTCCTCTGTTGCAAATGCAGAATAACTCCCTTTTGTGTTTGACACCTCATCTACTCTTTACACACCGAAAAAGGAAGAGAGGTTTGATTCCTCAAATAAAACGACCATAATATAATGGTGATCAACTTGGGTTATGCTCAGGGCTGGTTGCATGTTCTGAGGTTTATATTCCATCGACTTTTTTTCTTCTTTCTTTTGGAAAAAAAAAAAAAAAAGCTGGAAATTCACAACTATGGCACCACCCAATCTCAAAACGACATTTGCATTGTCCTGTACTACTCTTGGAAAAGTAACACTGTTTCTTTGCAGTGCTGCTTAGGGCTCTGCAATATGAAATTCAAAAATATCTAAGATGCCTCCTCAACAGAAACAGTACCAAACTGTCAAGCAGGGGTCTGTCCTGATGCTGCGCTGGCAGCTGCGAGAAATGAATGAATGAGGGGCCAGACCACCACCCTCATTCCTCTTGGCGGTTACAAACTGAGGACGCAGTGACTGCCACGCTGGAATACAGGGGACGGTTTTCCAGAGAGTTTTTCTCCACCGCTCCTGAAATTAGCAGACAGAAATCGCGGGGACCTATGACAGAGGAAATGGATAACAACAAACTAAATAAATAATCAGGTGTGCGCCAGGCTAAGGAGAGATTGGTTCCTTTGTTGGGGAAAGGTAACTCTTTCTCTTCTCTGGGGCAAAGAAACTTCTCGCCCAGGCTCAGAACAGAGGTTTACCTTGGTGAAGCTTTTCTCTCCACTAAGACCCTTTTCCAGGAAATGTCCTTGGTGCCCCGAGCTCCGCTGGGGACACCCGCTCCAAGGGCACTGGGACACCCACCCACCTGGCGCGCGCTGCCCGCAGGTCTCCAGGGCTCGCCTACCTTGGAGGCTCTCAATCAGTGCAGGGTCCCAGCTGATTCTCCTCTGGGCGCTCGGGCCGGGTGCTGAGGCCAGGGTCTGCTCCCTAGGGCTGTGCTGGTGCCGCGGTTGTCGGCAGATTCGGCTCCGCCCCCTGGGGCGCGTCCAGGGCAGAGTCCGGCGCCCCTGCGGCTCCGGGGAGGAGCCTCGGCTGGGGCAGCGCCTCTGACTTGTTTGGCCCAGGCACAGGGACCGACACCTGCCCTGCGCGCCTCTCAATAGAGGTACGTGCTGAAGAGGGATATGTACTGCTGCATTTCAAGAAGTTTCTATTTGCACCCGAAGTTCTTAAACTTTTTGTTTTGTTGCTTTTAATAAAACGTTTGTTTCGGATAATTTGAAACACAAAATAGATGAAAGCAGAGTGCGGTGGCACATGCCTGTAACCCCTGAGGCTTCGGTGGTTATGGCAGGAGGATCCCAAGTTCAAGACCAGCCTCAGCAAGTTAACTAGGCCCTAAGAAACTTAGCAAGACCCTGTCTCAAAGTTAAAATAAAAGGGGGGGGGGCTGAGGATGTGGCTCAATGGTTAAGCAACCCTGGGTTCAATCCTTGATGAGAGAGAGAGAGAGAGAGAGAGAGAGAGAGAGAGAGAGAGAGAGAATATGAATACAGAAAGTTCCAAACGCCCTTCAGCCCATGTCCCCTAAGTCCATATCTTACATAACTAAGGTACATTTGTCATAAATATAAAATTAACATTAGTCCCTTGGAATTAACTAAACCCTAGACTTGAGGCAGATTCACTAGTGTTTCAGCTAATATCTTCCTATTCCAGGTTCCTGTTCAGGACCCTATACTGCATTTGCATCTTCATGTCTCCCATATATATCTTTTGTGGTGTGTGATAGTTTCTTTTTTTCTTTTTTTTTTTCCTCGACTGCAACAGCATTGAAGAATTGTAGTACTGTAGCTAAGTTCTTTGGATATCCAAGATTTGGTTCTAATATTTTTCTCCCAGAGTTATGGGTTAGGGGGGAAGAATGACACAGAGATGGAGTGCTCTTCTCCTGGCTACTTCTCACAGGTACCTGGTAGAAGCATGACCAATCACTGGTGATATTGACCTTGATCCCTTGGGTAAAGTCATGTTTGCCAAATTTCCATACTGCAAAGTTCCTATTTTTTCTCTTTCTGTTCTCTCTTCTTCTGATGGAAGTCGCTCAATTCAGCCCACACTCCAGGTGAAGGAGGGATTTAACCTCACCTCCTAGAGAGAAGAGTATCTATATACTGCTATTAATAATTATTCTGTAAGAAAGATTTTCCCCCCTCTCTCCCATGTATCTATGCAATCATTTATTTTTATTGGAATAGACTTGCCAATATTTATCTTATACTTGGAGCTAAAATTCAATACTACATTATTTTGTTTTTCAGTGGGAACTATTTCGGGTTGAGTTCAATCTCTCTATGGAAGTTCAAAAACTTTTAGAGTTTCAAAAAAAAAAAAGCTATTTCTTCCACCCCTCTCACATTTAACAGATTCAGAAAATTGCAGCCTCAATCCCTTAATATTCAAGGGCTTTTCAGAATCTTTCTGAGAACCCTACAATCACTGACTCCCACCACAGTTGGAATCAAATAATATTCCATTTTCCCAACAAATTAATTTGTGGATTACAAATCAATCTAAAGTGAAAGTTGATAGTTCTTAGGTAATTTTTTTGTTAACTAATTCTTATGGTTCTATTAATATATGTATATTTACAGACAAATTGTGTTCCAAAGATAGCCCGATGTTTATTACCAGCTTAAACACTGAAGACATCCAGCTGTTAAGGATCATTTGTTATGTTGTTCTGGTTTGCTCATGTTTGCATTTCCAGTCAGTTCCGTAAACAACACATTTCCTCCTTCTGAGCTTGGGTCTTGCTCAGCATTAGATTCTGTCCTGCTTTCTGGGACCCCTTCACCTCTCCTGGTCATAATCTTTCTTGGAGAGGGAAATCTACCATATTGAACCTCATAAATGTCCCCACCACTCCATTAATGTAATAATACTCGAGGGGTATTCACTCATCCTAATCTTGCACTTGCTGTCACTAATAATAAATGATTCTTAAGGACTACCGACACATCTTTTTCTCAAATTTCACATAATGGTCACATCCCACTTTCTTACAAATAAAAATGGGTCATAACATACCTTTCTCATGTACATATATGAAAACAACACAGTGAATCTCACTACCATATACACCCATAAGAATGGGACTCTAACTAGAACAAGATATGTTCCATGTTTGTATAATTATATCAAAATGGATTCTGTTGTCACGTATAATTAAAAAGAACCAATAGATAGGAAAATAGTTTTTAAAATGGTTATAAAATCTGCAACCATTATGCAGTCCAATGTGGTACTTCTCCAATAGCCTAGATTGTGCCAGATAAACACAGAATACACGAAACTGTGAATAATCAGGAGAGCTAAGTGACATTTGGGTTTTCACTTTTTTTGTTTACAAAGTTACTAAAATAACATATTATTAACTTATTAATAATAATTCTAAAAATAAATTAAAAGAAAACATTTTATAGAATAAATGCTTGTACGATCCCCAAATGACTATATTGAAGCCCTAGTTAGCAATGCAATGGTATTTGAAAACGGAGTCTTTAGGAGCGAATTAGGTCACGGGGTCCATCATAAATGGGTTTAGTGCCCTTTAAACAAGAAATGGGAGAAAGGCAACTCTCTGTAATGAAAGGAAATGGCAAGTAAGCAGCATTTGCAAACCAAGAAGACAGCCTTCACCAAATATCACATCTCTGGGAACCTTGACCTTGAACTTCCCAGTCTCCAGACTATGAGAAATCAATGTTTGCAATGTAAGCCAGTTTAATACCAGTCTATGGTATTTTGTTATAGCAGCCAAACTAAGACAATATCCCAGAAGAAGTTGACAAAATCAGAAATAAAGGTGGATTTTGAGCACTTTCCTGGGTATACAATCAGCTGGGCAAATTGAAGAGATACCAAGAAACCCAGTCCGGGGGGACCACAAGAGACTACGGGAAGATTAAGCAGAGAAGTGGAAGCAAACCTCGGACAAGAGGTCCAGGAAATGCCTTTTTCTTGTCCATCTCTGTTAAGAAAGGAAAGAAAAAAAATCATTGTAGGAACTGAAACTGTAAATGTCATTATGAGTTTATTAATAAAACACTCAACAAGTGTTTAGGAACAATACCTGAGTGTCTACTTGTATAAACAACTCTGTCTAAACAAGTACATCTTTTTCTAAGAATCCTTTCACATAATAGATACAGAAACCATGACATAACCAGGGTTGATATTCAAAGCATGTTCCTACTGGTTGAGCAGTGGTACCAACCAATCAGAAAAACTGCCATCCACAATAAACTATTGATGTGGATAAGTTCATGCCAACCAGCTAAAAGTCAGCCCTGGACATCCTTATTTAAACCTATTACTGCTCTCTTAGCAAATCCAGACATCCTTTCAGAAATACCCTTACGAAGGGTATTTGGACATATTCCTTTGGACTTAATTCTGATTTCTGTAGCTTTCTTATTGATGAGCCTGGTTTTCTGTACTTTCACAGTAGCTGGGGCAATAAATGTCACTCTTACCTGCACTGTGAGTCCTTCTCCCCAAAGGAAAGGAGCATGGGGAAGGGTGAAATAAGACATGAAGTTGAGATGGTGGTGTGAAAGACTTTATCCAGGGCTGGGGTTGAGACTCAGTGGCAGAGCGCTTGCCTCACTTGTGTGAGGCACTGGGTTCCATTTTCAGCACCACATAAAATGAATAAATAACAAATAAAGATATTGTGTCCAAATACAATTTAAACAAAATTTTTTTTAAAAAAAACTTTATCCAGGTACTTCTAAGGTTGAAGGAGGGATGTGAAACTCAGAATAAGGCTGTAGGAAGGCATCATTCGAAAAAGTTTATTGGTTATAGATGAAGCCTGCATTTTGACACGATTTGTGCTACCATTGATTCACAGTCTTGCCTTTGTCCTCACCTACCTTAAGTTGGTATGGACGATTTTCATAGTAACTACAAAAGCCTTTCTTTCTTTCCTCTGCTGGAATAATATGGAATCTGTCCAATTCCCAAACTGAAGGAACTAAATTTCATCTGCCTTTTGAAACTGTTAGTTAAAACTCTACTTTTGTGGCTTCCTTTTGTTTCTTTGTTAAGGTATTCTCTAACAGGCTATGAGAATTTGGCTTTCTATTTTTATTATTATTTTTTTGGCAACTGCAGTATTTTAGATATTAATTATAATTTGACACCTAGTTCCCCGTTTCCATGTTGGTTTTTTTTTTTTTTTTGAATGTTGGCCTTGGGCTGACTCAAGTAAGACAGAGGTTAACATTAAGGACTACATGGCAATAAGGGAGATAGAGAACTCATTAAGATCCAGATGCAAGAACCCTGCAGTGGCTGAGACTCCTGAGGACCAGCCATTGGATTAGGGGGAATTTAGGATTTGGGCAAGAGTGCGGGGATCCCCGTGCTGGGGGACCACCAGGCAGCATTAACGGGATCAGTTTCTTACTTTTCCATCTGGGCTTCCTGATGATGACTTCTCACATCTTGCTACTATCACATAATATTTTACCCCTTGCTCTATAAATCTCCAGTGGCTGCAAGGTGTGGTGCAAAGCAATGTTTGGGTTAGCTGGTTAACCTAAGGTAAGCAACATAACCTCTCTGGCTTCAGTTTCTGTAAAATGGGCTCCCATTTTCATGGATGCTTGTAACTACTACGGGTTTTTTTGTTGTTGTTGTTGTTCTTCTCAATTCTGATCCTGAGAGTAAGACTCTTGTGAAACCTGCTTTTGTCTCTTTAAAAGTCACTGGCCACGCCGTAGATTGGCTGTCATTGGGATGAATACAGTTATTCTCTCTCTGTCTTCTAGGGCTTAGTAAACACTCATTGCTCACCCCCGATGAGAGGCAGTGGTCCTCTCTCAACTGAGGCTATGGTATAACAGGCCCTCAGAATGGAACTCCAGCTTGAGTGTACCATGGCTAATGCTTCCAAATATGAAGAAGGTAACTGAGGATTGAGGTCTAAGACTTCAACTGCAGGTTGGTGGGGGCAAG